TATCTCCCTTTTTATAGTAGAGGGTCACTGCTTTATCTATAACAACATAATAAAATAATACATTAGTGTCTATTGCAAGCACAATGGGAATGTTTGTCTCTTCCTTGATTCTCGCCAAGATTCTCTCCCTCGGTGCGGTTGTAACGGCTCTTGTCTGCGAGCTTGGCACTGGCTCGAGCTCAGTGTTAGATCGAACCCCTAGTCTTGATTTGAGCTCGGTTCTGCCTTGGGGCATCAATATTCGGGGCCTGTGTCGATCGGTGTTGCCCCGTAGTCCGATTCGGACACGGGCTCGATAATGATATCGAGTTTTGCCGTTGATTGGTCTTATAGCTCGAAGCTCGACGTCTCTACATCGAAATTCGTCCGAGCTTGTCATGTGGATACCCTTCGATTGAAACGTTATTGTCTCGACCGGTCTTTTTGACTGAGAATCGGTTTTGACCGTACACAATAATATGACCCCATGATGTTGCTAAAACTTTGGAGCTATTAGGCGTTCAGACAATTCTTGGAAAATCTTGGAAAACGTGGATGGAGAGTTAAAGACAGCTTCAGAAAAGGTAATTATCTGGACAATTTGGAGCTATAAGTGTTTTGTGAGAGGTACACCACTTAAAAAAAATCCAAAAAATTATAAAATAATTTCAACAAAACAAAGACAAACAGAACCTCATCCTTCAGTTCTTTCAACAGTTACAGACAACTTCAAAACAGGTTATAATCCCTCCTGGAGCATCTGCTTCAGCAGGTATGAAATTAGAATATCGAAAACAAGTACGAGAAAGATGCATATATCGCTAGTTTACCGCTTGCCTCGAAAATAACAAGAAAGCAAGTGCAATAATCAGCAGAGAGTGTCGGCAATGTTGACAGTTGTGCTTGGGTCAAATCCAAGTCGAGGAACAAAGATACAACATATTGACTTATCACACTACGTCTACACTTTATCATGCATAAAGAACAGAGATTGAATGGTTGGCCTGAGTGCTGCATAGGTTTGTGCCTCAGAGGCCACGCCGCCACAATGAGAAAGTTGTCGCATGATATGCTGATTTCTAACTATTTGACATTTACTCTTTCACCCCTAGTATTAAAACACACTGCATAGCTGAAGAGTCTTTTCCATCATCTGGTACAAGAAACACAACTTACTATGTTCTCTTTTCTTCTTGCTTGTGTAATTATTCCTCTTCATCAACTCACTTTCAAATTTGCACGTCTGGTTCGTGCATTTTTTTAATGCATTTTCTCATTCTTGTTTTAACAAAAGAAAAATTAAAGATGAAGGCCCTAAGCAGGCATAAATCCATTCCTTTATTTTTCACCTTAACAGATGATTAGACTATATATCACATTTTATAATTATCCAGTAAGCGTAAACGAGACGATGCATTATAAGATATGTTTCATCGACAGAGTTGATGTCTACTCTCTAATGACAATTGCCATTCCTCGAGCTTTGCAGGAGAAATAAACATTTCATTGACTTTAAAGTTGTAGAGAACAACCATTTGAATGATTATGCGGACTCATCAAACAAAAAATACAACAAAGAATTATATCTTGCTGAGGATGACTTGTTCTAATAAATGGTTGCACAAAACATGCGACACTTGTTTATCGATTGTGGTAACAATAGATACAACATCACCAAAAATATCATAGTTAATTCTTGATAAACCATCTCCCCTAAATAGATAGCTATACGCCCTTCACAATCAAATTGAACATCCCAAATAACAGAATGGCTCGCTTAGCTCTGCAATGGTCACTTTTCAGCTATACTGTAAGTTTTAACCAAAAAAAACCAATGTACTCCATTCATCTTATACTTTTTAATTTTCTTAAAGCTAAGTTTTATTCTAAGTTACAATTTAAAATTTCTACAGATTTTAATAGAATATAACAGTTGACATCCATGTTTATTCATATTCTTTCCTTCTACAAGGTTGAACTTTATTTCACCGCTCAATTTTACCACTTGAAATTAGAGGACATAACCAAGAACATGCGGGAATCACGATTACCATCAGGGTATATGCCGGTAGTAATATAGAAAAGGGAAAACTAACTCCTTTTCAGGTTGCCAGAAGGAACCCCGAAGAAATGAAGAAAAAATAGATGCACCATAAATTGATACGCAATCATGAGATTACCCAACATAACTTTCCGAGAGAATAAACCATCCAAAATAAATCGACAAACTATGATCTCAACAGAGCACATAATTATCGCCACCGTCATGTCTAACATTCAATTGTTTCAATTGTTTTCTTTATATAATTCCTCACGCTCAATTACTTTGTCCTACAATTTCATTCGTGACAGGTTGCAAGATACTCAAAAGATAGAGTAGCGATATACCATCCATAAAATCACGCCATTTACAAGAGATTGAACTTGTAAAATACAAGTTGTTGACAAAATATGCCCAAAAACGGTTTACAAGATCCTAGAGAAGAAATTCTCACACTAAATAAATTTCAACTATGAAAGGCTACCCACAAGTACAGATTATTCCGCGGCATCGGGTGTTAGGCCTGCCTCTTTCATCTGATACTATAATCTGCAGGCTTCATGTGTTCTTCCCTCTTTTAATAAGCCAGAAATAAATATTGTATAAGTCACAACATTTGGAACTAAACCCTTTGTGGGCATCTTGTTGAAAAGCTTCAGAGCATCATCTACCTTTCCTAATTGGCAATTCCCGTGTATAAGCGAGGTGTATGTATAGATATTAGGTATCAGGTCATTAGCTTCCATGACAATCCATAGCTTATAAGCTTCCTTCATAATACCTTTCTTGCAATAACCATCTATCAGCGCAGTGTACGTCGTCGTGTTAGGCTTAACTCCCTTAGTTTCCATTACATTAAGTGTCCTTTTTGCTTCAACAAGTTTTCCCTGCTTGCAATAACCATCTATAAAAGCAGTGTACGTATAGACATCGGGTATCAGGTCATTAGCTTCCATGTCAATCATTAGCTTATACGCTTCCTTCATAATACCTTTCTTGCAATAACCATCTATAAGCACAGTGTATGTTGTTGTGTTAGGCTTAACTCCCTTAGTTTCCATCTCCACAAGTGTACTTTTAGCTTTAACAAAATTTCCTAGCTTGCAATAACCATCTATCAGTGCAGTGTAGGTTATCGTGTTAGGCATCACTCCCTCAATTTCCATCTCACTAAGTGTCCTTTTCGCGTCAACAAAATTTCCATGCCTGCAATAACCATTTATCAGGGCATTATACGTTGCGGTGTCAGGCTTAATTCCCTTAGTTTCCATCTCATTAAGTGTCCTTTTGGCTTCAACAAAATTTCCCTGCTTGCTGTAAATATCAATCAAAGTTGTATAAGACAACAAATTTAGAGCTACACCTCGATCCACCATCGAGAGCAACAACCTCTTTGCTTCACCATACCGATCTAGCTTACGCAGCCTAGTAGCAATTATATTGTAAACATTTGCATCAGCCTCATGTCCTAAGCCCTCCATAATTCTTAGCAGCCTCAGTGCTTCATCCACATTACCTTGCTTACAATAATCATCAATCATCATACTAAATATGACTTGGTTTATGTAACTTCCCTTGTTTTGCATCTCATTAAGCAAGACTTCAACTTCTTGCATCTGCTCAGCATTGTACAAGCCTTTTATCAAAGCTATATATGTGTGACTATTAGGAAAGAAGCATTTCTCCGTCATTTCGCCGAAAAGTGAAAATGCCTTTTTAACATTACCTATCTTACTATAACCACTAATCATATAATTATACACACGAAAATCTGACTTCATGCCCTTCTCTTCCATTTCCCTAAACAACCTCTCAACCTCTTCAAGATTGCTAAAAGTAGAATATTCGTCAATCAAAAGTGTATAACTTTTCACATAGAAATCCAACCTCTCACTCTTTATTTCCCTCAAATTCTCACTCACAACCGCAAAATTTGGTTCCTTTACATATGCATCTAATAATGTGTTATAAGTGTATTCTTTTGGTTTCATCCCTTTACTAACCATTTCATCCATAAGCCTTCTTGCCTTACAAACCTCCCCCAATTTACACAATCCATTAATTACCATTGTCATAGAATAAACTGTAATTTTCACATCAAACTCAACCATTTTCTGGTAAAACTCAAACAACAAGTCATATCGCTTTTGCCTTTCCGTAGCACGCAAGTACACTTTACAAGCTCTAACAGCAATTTCAAAGCCATCTTTTTTCATATAATCAAAAACCTCCAAAGCTTCCTTAAACCTAATATTTTCAGCATAAGCAATAAATAACATATTAAATACCTTCCCCATAACGTTGTGCTGTACTTGATTCTCACCCAATAAAGAAGCTATTTCTGAAATTGGTTTCTTCAGACCATTATCAGCACCAACAGCATGCAATATTTTCTTGGCTGAAGCAAAATTCCTGACTTCAAGCAAACGCAAACGCAAACACAAAGCGCCGTGTAATTTCGACATATGGGCGCAATTCAATATCTTGTAAAGGTGTAATTTTTACCATGAAAGTTTCATTCAAAAGACGGCGCAACTAGAAATATATTATTAATAAATATCCCTTCTTGTTTTATAGGAGTAGAAATTGGCCCAATATTTTTCTGACTTTTTGAAAACTTACGTTTAGGGGTGTTCGTCAAAAAAGATTTAACACAAATAGCCGTACACCTAATCTCTTAAACTTAAAATAGCCGACGGATGTATAATATATACTATATATATATATATATNTCTATATATAATCTATGTATATCGGATAAAAAAAGTAAACATTAAATCTGGACGACTATTTGTGTAACAATCCCTTCATAAAAATCCGAAAAATCGAACCAAAGCAAAAACCAAACTCAACGACCAAAAAACCGATACTTTTTAGGTTTGGTTTGGTTTTGATTTTGAATTTTAAAAATCGATCAAATTTGATTTTTTTGGTTTTAATCAAAAAATAACCGAAAAAAATCCGAACCAAACCGGCTATTTAAATTTATTCATACACCTATATATATGTATATTTTTATATAAAGTTTCTAAAATTTTATAGTATATATTAGTCGTTTGTATTTTTAGTCTAGTTCTTTGCTGTTATAATAATCTAATTATTTTCCTTTACATTCTAGTTTGATTGGTAGTTTTCTTTTGCTAAGTACAAGAATTTATTTCATGTTAAAGATAAATAATTTTTAATTGAGTACTTAAATTACTCATCACTATTTAATTCAGTTATCATCAATATATCTTGGTAAATGATAGATTTCTCAAAGAGCAATTGGTTTGATGGTGTTATATTAAAAATGTAGTCGGCGGAAGATGTGTTTGGTAGTGTATGTTTTATATTTAAGAAAAATCCGATAAATAACCGAAAAATAGAAAAACCGACAAAAACCGAATCCATAAAAACTGACTTAATTGGATTGGGTTGGTTCCAATATTTGAAGAACCGACTTACTTGATTTGATTTCTTTTTAGAAAAAACCCGATCCACACCGAACCATGAACACCCTTACTTACGTTACATGCTTATATGACACTTGGATAAAGTTGGTTTCATGGGTAACCTGAGTTTGAAAGGTAGCAATGACTTGACACACCCTTACCCCCTTAAGAAGTAGTAATAAACAACGTCGTAATTTTACTATATCCTATTTATTATATATTGAAAAATAAATTAAAAATAAGTAAACTTTACTAAGAATGGTAAAATAGGTGTAAAATAGTAAATTATTTATTATTTTTCAAATTAGACAAGTAAAAGAAGACATCTATTTTTAGTATAGTGGACAAGTAGACTTGGACACGGAAAATATATTTATTTTTTCATACACACATTTAGCATTTAACTTAAGTAATGTAATATTCCCTCGGTCCAAGTTTATTTATTCACTATTGACTTGACACACCTCTTAAGAAACAATATAACATAATAATTTTATTATGTCACCCATAATTGTTATCATTGAAAAACTAACTTTGACTATTATAAATCTAAAATATGAAAAATAATAAGGGTAAAAAATAGGTATAAGATGGTAAATTATTCGTTGGTTTTTCAAACTAGACAAGTAAAATTGAATATTTATATTTATTAGTATAGTGGACAAGTAAACTTGGACGGAAGGAATAGATATTCTTACTTTTATTTTTAACTATTAAGGTTAAATTATTTAATTTGAAATAAATACTCAGGGCGGATAAATATTTACCGTTCTCTTTGTGTCCAATATGCTTGTTTTAGTTTTCTGATCATTAAATGAGAGTAAAGACAGAATAAACAATGCTGAAAAAGATTGTTATATTCCTTTGTCAGACCGATCGAATTTAGACTGTTATGAACGAGATTGGCCAGAAAACTAAGGTGAAGGGCCAGTTTGGAATATTAGAAAACTTTGTGTGGGACCCGTGCAAGAAGACTAAGGCGAATGGCTTATTAAAAAGAGAATCGATGATGCTGTAAAAAGGGTATGGATATTGTTGAGTAAAATGTCTGCTTCTCCTCGTCTCCCCTCTCTAATGTCTGTATTCTCTCATCCCATTCTTAGTCTGAGCTTCTCATCCCTTCTTCTCTATCCTTTATACTTCAATTCCGTCATTTTCGTTTCATTATTAGTACTAGCAGTAGTTGTTATATTTTGAGCTGAGTTGTAATCTCATTTCTCTGTTGAAGTAATAGAAAAGGGTGTTTGTGAGTTTAACTGTTACATTTAGCTACTGGTTGATTTGGGATCATTACATTGGTGCTTTCATTGATTCCTACTCCATAGATTGCCGTAGTCTTGCCTTGCTACTGCAAATGCATGCCAATTACTCGAGTATGTATAAGCAAATCCAATAAATCCAGTGTTGTCTTTCCCGTATGTCTAAGGGTTCGCCACTAACAGTTATGCAGGATTCGGCTGTAGAATATGCATCGGTCAGTGCTCCTACAGTCTTTATCAGAGAGATGGATTCTGTTTTGGTTTATGGAAACTCAAACCCTATGGATAATTCCGAAGTACTTACTGAGCTTGTAAATCCAATTGGTAATTCTTCGAACTCTATTCAATTTCCTACTGTAGTGGCTTCATTAGGTTGCCTTGGGACTTTGAGTACCCAACTGGAAACTAAGTATGATGACGAGGAAAATTCAAAAGTCTTTGCATGCAAGGTGTTCACTGAAATACCTGTTAGGGAAATTGACATGGAAGTTGAAGATTCAGTGGAGTATGATTTCATAAAACCTGAAATCCAGGTGTTTGACGAAATATTTCACACAATTTCTGTTGTTAAATGTGATTCCAAAGACCTTGTCAAGCCTGATAGAATTCTGTTAGCATTGCCTTGTATGTTTTCAGCTTGTAGTCATGTCCAACTTATTGGCAGAGGTACATTTGCTTACTTAAATGAACTCGATCATACTAAACTTATATTATCCTTGCATCGATTTCCACTTGATCAATTCGGATTAGCTTTTCCGTTTGATCCTGGTTCTAGATTATTTACCTCATTTCTTGACGTTGCAATATTTTATTCCAATATGGTTATGAATGATTTCAAGGAGATCATTAGAATATTAGAGTGTGATGTTGGTTCCACCTCCAATGATCGATGTATTTCGACTCCTTTTCCATTTGATCCCCGAGCGAATTTGTTCATTGTAACCCCTGGTGGATTCCTTCACGTTCCTCAATTACAACCTGAGACATTTGCACATACTCACGTACTTGTGAAGCTTTACATATTTCAGCTTTTCAGGGCATTGTCCTACATTCTGAAGTTGGGATGTGATGTATGTTTATTGTTTTCATAAATTATAGATGCAAGTCGCGATATACGAATTGTTCTAGAGGGGTTGAACAAGGTGGTTGAATTCGTAATCTCCAATCATGGCATGCGTTTGTTTATTAATGCATGTGTCGTTGCATTTGTGGCTAGTGCTAATGATGCTCTTGATATTGCTCTAGCAAGAAAATCGTTGTCCAGATTTATGCTTATACTAGTTCACAGGAGAATAGACCTTGAAGTAGCTGAAAATGGGATTACAAGAATAACTGATGTTTACAATGCAAGTCCAGCTAGTATCGACTGCAAAAGTAAACGAGTTTCTATACTTGGGGACATGCTTAAACTTGGTCCATCAAAATTCAAGTTCCATGGGTTGATGATACAAAATTATTGGGATCACCATTTTAATGTCGTTGCACATGTCAGACCATGGATTCTAACTGCAGCTGAGATTGTAGACTGTTTTGAGGAGATAAAGCTGGTATGCAATTATTTAGTTAAAGGTCATATTATCCTTGTCAATGAGAGTAGCGAACAACAATTGGGAGTGAATTTGGATATCAAACTTATTTTCCCTATAGCATTATGTTGTTCAATGGTTAGAGAAGATGCATCAACTGAATCATCTTTAATGAGTTTGAATTTCTGGAAAATGAGATCCATACATGCACATATTCTTGGGAGTCGTTATATATTAGATATTCGCCATGCTGCTCCGCTGCTGAATGGTTTCTTGATCTCCAATATGTCGTTGATGATGATGGAATGTGCTATTGTCATTATGGATAATGAGCCTTATTAACTAACCCCAAGATCATTTTGTTTATTGAGTCCACCGCTGCTCTTGCTACTAGTTTGCAGAGAATTGTCCAGTAAGCTCAAGTCAAGTATGACCCTCTCCATGGCAAGCTGCTAGCTTGCTGCCTCATGCTCTGTGTTGACATTGTGCCAAAGGTTGTCAATGCTGCATTGCCCACCATCTCATGTCACTTTGACACAGCGATGATAACTCATATCTTCTCTTATCACAAGGACTACCTTTTTATAGACACATTTAGCGGAACAAGTGTTATTAACATTGTTCTTAGCCCGAACCTTGAGGACAAGGTAATTATTGAGGACGGGGATATTGTTATGGACGAGATTGGACAGAAGACTAAGGTGAAGGGCCAGTTTGGAATATTAGAAAACTTTGTGTGGGACCTGGGCAAGAAGACTAAGGCGAACGGCTTATTAAAAAGAGAATCGATGTTGTTAAAAGGGTATATATTGTTGAGTAAAATGTCTACTTTCCTCATCTCCTTTCTCTAGTGTCTGTATCCTCTCATTCCCATAATTAGTCTGAGCTTCTCATCCCTTCTTCTCTATCCTTTATACTTCAATTCCATCATTTTCGTTTCATTATTAGTACTAGCAGTATTTGTTATATTTTGAGCTGAGTTGTAATCTCATTTCTCTGTTGAAGTAATAGAAAAGGGTGTTTGTGAGTTTAACTGTTACATTTAGCTACCGGTTGATTTGGGATCATTACATAGACAGTGATGGTTGAGAAATTTTACTTTGAGTGAGACTCAACGAACAAAATTTGTATGAGGCACCTCTAATTATTGGACATGTGAAAAATTAGGTCCCACATTACTGGTTCCCTCTTTTATACCTCGGGTAGTTACGTGTTTCCCATTTCACGAGAAAATGATCAAAATTATTCTTAATGTATTGGATTTGGTTTGTCTTGGTCCGTGATATATACCCCTTAACAGGTATAGTCCTTAGTGTTTAGAAAAAGTAAACACTTTTGGTCTTCAACCCTCAAAAGGTTAATAGATTTATAAAAAACAATCGTTAACTATAACATCTAAACCACGTTGCACTCACGTGAGAGCAAAACAAAAATAGAAACACGTTGGTCGATCGGGTTGTTGAAGAAACTCAGGCGGAACAAAAAAAAAGAATTCAACCGGATTGTTACTCTATCGGAATAAAGGGGTTCTACCACTAACTCCGCCGAATTCGACAAACTCTGATCGATGGCGAAACTAGTGGAGCCGCAGTCCGCCGACCTAAGCTCCGGTAAAAAATACTCAGCACCAACATGGTGGAAAAACTTGTGGGGCGGTTAAGGCTTACTGTGCGTCTGCAAAACTGATGAAGAAGGGTAAGAAATTATGTCATTTTCAGTGTTGGATTTGAAATGTGCTTCTTACTATGTGACCGGAGCTTGAACGGAACCGGAAAAGTCCTTCGGCACCGGCACTTCGATGTTGCACCAGTGAAATTATTTTGGTTTATAGTTAGGCAAATGGGTATTCAATTTCAGGTGAAATTTTTGATACTTTTTCAAAGTTTCAGTGAGAAAAAAGAAAGAAAGAAGATCTAATGCTAGCTATTTCTCTTTTCTGATTCATAAATTACAGTCTACATTGTAGTGCACCAAGTGAAAGTAAATGTTGAAGTTAAGAATTATAGGAAAAATTTATGTAAACACGACATCAAATTTGTGGTTCTTGGGTGACCATCTGATGCATTTGTTAGTTGTTGTGAAATGAGGAAAGTGACTCGGGTTTGGGAATCTCATGGAAGGTAGTATTGTCACGACCCCAAACTCCCTCCGTAGAATGTCATGACAACACCTAATCTATACGACTAGGTAAGTCTAACAAATTGCGGAAATAACATAAATGGAAGTAAAACTTAACAACTAACTGTAACAGATAACTAAATAATTGATAACCATGCCGTTCGGCATGTACAATAACCAACACTTTAGTAATACACAATATTACCAAAACCCGAAACATCATAAGTCACAAGCTACAGAAGGAAAACTAGTATCTCTATACACCAGAGTCTAATAAAAGAAGTACGGAAGGTAAATGACATAGGAGAGAATAGAGGGGGATTCCGAAGTCTACGGACGCGGCAGATGTACCTTGAAGTCTCCGTACATCAACAAGCACTCTCAGCTAATAACGGGGCTGATAAGAAGCACCTGGATCTGTACACAAAATATGTGTAGAAGAGTAGCATGAGTACACCAGAACGGTACCCAGTAAGTACCAAGCCTAACCTCGGTAGTGTAGTAATGAGGTGAGGTGTAGGCCCTACTAGGATATAATAATAAGACAAATGTTATAAATAAAAAAAGTGAATTAAAACGGGGAATTTAGCAGAAAGAATTCACAGAGAAATAACAACACAGCACAATGAGATAACAATAGGGGCGCTCCCGAGATACCGTCTCGTAGTCCCAAAAGTAAATACTCAACAAGGGATCTCCCGAGATACCGTCTCGTAGTCCCAAATGTAAATATGTGAGGAGATCTCCCGAGGTATTTTCTCGTAGTCTCAAAAGTAAATCTGCAGGGAGAACTCCCGAGGTACCGCCTCGTAGTCTCAAAAGTAAATGTGTAGGGAGAACTCCCGAGGTACCGCCTCATAGTCTCAAAAGTAAACACACAGCTCAACAGATAAATACAACAGTTAACAGCAAGAATTCTACAGTTAAGACTGATAAAGATCAAGGATGTCACGACCCAATTTCCCCTCCGTGTGACGTCGTGATGGCACCTAGTCTCTACACTAGGTAAGCCTAATATTTTTGCGGAATAGTGAAATAAAAATATATATTTAACCAATTATTCAAAAATACACAACAAATCCCAAAACCCGGAACATCGTGAATCACAAACTACAGAAGGAAAAATCTAGTGTCTCTATACATCAGAATCTAACAAGGAAAATACAGAAGATAATGGACATGAGAAAGAGTAGAAGGGGACTCCGAGGTCTGCGGACGCGGCATATATACCTTGAAGTCTCCAAAGTTGTCCCGGCGTATTACTAGTGCGGCTGATAAGGTGCACCTGGATCTGCACACGAAAAATATGTGCAGAGAGTAGCATGAATACACCACAATCGGTACCCAGTAAGTGTCAAGCCTAACCTCGGTCGAGTAGTGACAAGGTCAGGTCTGGGCCCTACTGGCAAATATATAATAAAAATAATATAAAGTGTAATACCGCAATAAAATAAAGGCTGAAATGTAACAACAATAAAATCATAGAAGGTAACAGCTCAGTACACAGAAATCACAATAGGGGATCTCCCAAGATACCGTCTCGTAATCCCAAACGTAAATGTGCAGGGGGATTTCCCGGAATACCGTTTCGTAGTCTCAAAGTAAATATGCAGTACAGGGGGATCTCCCGGAATACCGTTTCGTAGTCTCAAAGTAAATATGCAGTACAGGGGGATCTCCAAGAATATCGTTCTGTAGTCCCAAAGTAAATATGCAGTACAGGGGGATCTCCCGGAATACCGTTTCGTAGTCCTAAAGTAAATATGCAGTACAGGGGGATCTCCCGGAATACCGTTTCGTAGTCCTAAAGTAAATATGCAGTACAGGGGGATCTTCTGTAATACCGTTCCATAGTCCTAAAGTAAATATGCGGTACAGGAGAATCTCCCGGAATACCATTCCGTAGCCCGAAAGTAAATATGCAGTACAGGGGGATCTCCCGTAATACCGTTTTGTAGTCCCAAATTAAATATGCAACGCGAATGATAGAAATACAACTGCATCACGAAATTCTTACAATTTAGACTAAGTACCAGTCAGGGAAGAAGCAGGAAATTCACTAAACATGCTGCACAGAATTCACATAAATAATTAAGACACGTAGACATGTTGTATTAGACTAAACATGATAGTTACACATATTGGAATAACTCAATTAATAATGAAAATAGATTAGTACTCATTCAAATGGTATAACTCAAAATAACAGGAAAACATGTTGCTGCTCAGTAAGAAAATCAGATTTTACCACAAACTAGCTCGTGTACGTACTCGTCACCTCACGTACACATGGCTCACATATCACAATAGTTCTAAATATTAAGGGGATTCCCCTCCCCTCCCCCCCTCACAAAGTTTGACAAGCTACTTACCTCGAACCAAGCTCAATCAATCGGTCACAATACCTTTCCCATAAATATCCGGCTCTGAATGACCCAAATTTAGCCAAAAGCAATTACATATCATAAATACAACCAAAATAGACTCATCTAATTAATGAAATCAACACTTTAACAAAAATTCCGAAATTAACTCAAAATTTGCTCGTGGGGCCCACATCTTGAAATCGGGTAAAAGTTACAAAATAGGGGCGCCCATTCTACCACGAGTCTAACCATACCAAAATTACTAAATTCCGATAACAATTCGGCCCTCAAATCCTCAAATTTATCCAAGAGGGTTTTCAAACTATTCCACTTAATTCACCAATTAAATGATAAAAATAACCATGGATTCGGGTAATTTAACCAATATTGAGTTAAGAACATTTACCCCATTGTTTCCTCTGAAACTCTCCCAACAATCGACTCAATCCGATCTCCAAATTGTTAAAAAAAATTTCAGAGCTTAAACTTTTTGTCCAGACCTCTCTTCTTCGCGAACGCTACAGGTCCCTCGCGTTCGCGAAGAACAACTCGACTGCCCGCAAATTTAACCCTTCGCGAACGCGAAGATTTACTAGCTCAAACCTTCGCGAACGTGACCACCACCTAGCGAACGCGTAGAACAAGGACCTGGGGGTCCCCAATAGCCTCACTCCTCTTCGCGAACGCGACACCACACATGCGTTCGTGATACACACACAGACCATACCTTCGCATTCGCATTCACGTCCTCCCCTTCGCGAACGCGAAGAACAAAACCTCACACTCAAAAAACACTCTTCGTGAACGCGTCCTACTCCTCACGTTCGCGATGCTTCCACTATCCACATCTTCGCGAACGCGAGCTCTTCTTCGCGAACGCGAAGAACAAACTTCTGCAACAAAAATCAGAAAAATCTGCTACTTCTCTAAGTCCAAAAATGACTCATTGAGCATCCGAAACACACCCGAGGTCCCCGGGACCTCAACCAAACATACCAACAAGTCCTAAAATATCATACAAACTTAGGCGAATCCTCAAACCACATCAAACAATGCTAAAATCATAAATCATCCTCCGATTCAAACTTAAAGAACTTGAAACTTCCAAATTCGACAACCGATGCCGAAACCAACCAAACCACGTCCTATTGATCCCAAACTTTGCACACAAGTCATATTCAACACTACGTACCTACTCTAACTTCCGGAATCGGATTTCGACCCCGGAATCAAAATTTTCACTACCGGTCTAAAATTCTAAAATTTCAACTTTCGTCATTTCAAGTCTAAATGAGCTACGGGCCCCCAAAACACTCCGGACACACCCCTAAGCTCAAAATCACCCAACGGAGCTAACGAAATCAACAGAATTCCATTCCGGAACCGTCTTCATACAGTTCCAACTGTGGTCCAAATTCTAAGACTTAAGCTCTCATTTAGGGACTAAGTGTCCCAAAACACTCCGAAAC